GATAAAGAGACGGTTCTATTTCACTTGCCACAAAACCCACGTTTCTCTACCGTCTGTTTGAAAAACTTCCACCAACAACGCGCCGCCTGCTTCGTACCATACATCGCCTTCTTCAGCTTCATCACTTTTCCTTTAAGATGCGGAAAAAGTTCTACCGGTGGTTGTACGTAGACATCTTCCTCAATTGGACTGTATAAATATGCTGAACTGACATCAAAGGTCGCAGTGGGTAACCCGAATCTAAGTCCCAACGCTATCAGAAGTCGCAAGGTATTTAGCGAAGCCGTTGGAGCGTACGTTTCATTGCAGTCGATCCCGAGTTGTTGATTGAAACCCTTCGCGACATACCTGGCCCGAAATTTGTCGACCGTTCCGTCAGGTTTCCGTTTAATAGAAAACACCCAACGCGCTCCAAGTACCTTCATCCCTTTAAAAGGATCGATGGCCTCCCAGACATCAAGTTCCCCGAATTTCTCCATCTCATACGTCGCGGCTGTTCTCCATGATTCCGAGTCGACACCTGCCAGTGCAGCTTTGATATGCTTAGGAAGATCAATTTCAGGGCCAATTGGAAGTTGAGCAATGGTCTTCTCTTCTTCGGCCGCAATTTCACTCGTCTTCTCTTCTCCTAGTTGCAAGATGATTTGGTTTAGAACAAAATCGAGATCGGACTTCTTGACTTCTTTCTTCACGGGCAAATTTTGGAAATCAGGGAACGTTGCTGATGTCGAATGTATTGACCGCTGTTCTCTAGGTGAATAGAACAACCAACCCGCTCCAGCTTCAGGATACCCCAGTAAGACTGCTTCTTGTGCACGTTCGTCGAGCTTCTTTCTACGTTCTTCCGGGATGTGAATTAATGCTTTCGCTCCAAAAGGATATAGTACATTTGGGTTGGGAACAACACCATAGAATAACTCTGTAGGTGACTTTTCTTTTGACCGTGAGTTCGGGAGTTGATTGTGAATCTGTCCCGCAGTCGACCAAGCGTAGCTCCAGAAACAACGAGGAAGTTTACTCTCGTGTAACATGGTCCTCGCCATATCCCCGATCGTTCGATTCAGTCTTTCAGCTTCACCGTTCTGTTGGGGGGAGTATGGTGCGCTAGGAGCCACTTTAACACCTATCACGGCTAGACGTTTCCGCAGTGAGTGTATGTACTCAGGAGCATTATCGCATCGCACATACTTGGGATATTTATTGAAGTAGTTCTTGATGTGTTCGATCCAGGACATGATCTTGTTCGGTACATCCGACTTCCTTTCAATAGCTCCAACAAAGGAGAACGAACTGGCATGATCTCGCAGAGTTATGCTGTAGCGCATACCGTGGACATCAGTCTCGAACGGTCCAGCAACGTCGGTCACCATCATGTCTAGTGGATTCTTTCGTGGGACTTGCGATTCCACTCCCAACGATTTACGACATGTACTCTTGGATTTTGCACAACGATCGCAGAAGAATGATTTCCACCTCAATTTCAAGTGCGGGTAATTCATTTTAAGGTAAAGTTTTACCACTTCTTCCGACGCGTGGCCTAGGCGGATGTGCCACTTGTACGAATCAAAAGAAGGAACTTGGGTGACTTTATTGACTTTAAAGGAATCAGGAAGGGTTTCTAACGACCAACAATAGTTATGGAAAACGGTGGGATATCTATTATCATTAGGATCTAATAGGGTCGCCTCTGTGCCTTGATAAGAGAGTTTCCATCCATCCGAAATCAGCCTGCCTGTCGATAGGATGATCCCGTCAACACCTGGCACGTGGTATACGTCATCAATCACGATCTTCCCTTTCGGTGTCGGAATCGTGACTCTGCCAATTTCGGTAACCGTAACGTGACACGCCGTAACAGCCAAGTAGAAGGTACGTGGAGTCGTTAGCGTTCTTGTCGCCTCGAAGAGGGAGGAAGTTCCACTCACATGAGCCGAGGCACCAGAGTCTAGGAGTACTCCTTCGGTCATATTGGGGAAATTGACCTTTCGCACATGATGTTCAGATCGGCGGGGGGGAAGGTACTTCGGTTCTTTCGTCTCGAAGTCTGTTGGCGGCGGTGAAATCTTCTTCAGCGCAACATCCTTCCAGTACTCAGAACAGTCTGAGAACCAATGTCCGTCTTTCGAACAGTAGTCGCAAGATGTCCCGTAGCGATTGACAAGCGATTCGGACTGTCCCTTGCCTTTGTAATGCGCCGCGCGGTCCTGCGAGAAACGGGGATGATTCAACTTTGATGCTTTGTCTACCGAACCACGACGTTGCGGAGTCAGGTACTTCCGGTTGCCGCCATTGAAAGCGTTTATCCTATCAAGATCCATAGGAGAATGTTCTGCGGCACCAATCTTGGGTTTGAGTTTGCTCGATGCCGCCTGGATGATGGTCGTCACATCATCGAATGAAGGTGAATCCTTGTCGTTCAGATTTTGATCAATACTGAACTCGAAGGTTTTTCGGTCGATACCAACAGGAGGCTGGTAATTTGACTGTAGTAGTATCCCGATCGACTCGTCTAGTGTCAACTTCGACTGATTCAGATCAGATACCAAGTTGGCCCACTTCGATATGGTGAATTCGTCCGCAGGGTTGGTGTCGTTTACCAACTCGATTAATTTCGACATCAAATCAATCTTATGTCGACGATCTGATCGCTGGCACTTCGTCTTCAGGATCGTGTACATCTTGTTGGCGTTCTTTTCACCGACAGAGTTGATGTTGTCACGGAGGGGCTTGACTATTGTATTTTTTATCAATGCTGTGATCGCATTGTTTTCTTCTGTCGAGATTTTCTTGAAATTATCGGTCTTCTCGATGACAGATTCGGTGACCGAGAAAGCATGCTGTAGAGTTCCATCTAGAGCATCTTCCCACTGTTGATAGTTCGACCCATCGTAGGCGAGGATCGGTTTATCGGGATTGACTTCCACATGGAGGGATATGGAAGATTTCAGGAAATTTCGCAGGATGACTTCCTGCCGAGAGTTCGGGGCGTTGGATTGAGCCATG